GTAAGTGCAAATGATAAAATTCATGAAGGGAAGTGATAGTTTCTGTTGGCATTGCCAGATGTAGAAAATTTTGGTCTTGGTTCTTTGCTGCCTTATGACTTCCGTGGAGGAAAATCAAAAACGATAATAGCCCTGATTTTTATGGGTGGGCAAGCTGGGAGGGAGCAGAGTGAGCATTGAGGGGAACTTGGTAATTCTGGGGATCTGATTTGGCAGGATCTTGCCTGAAGTTGGTCAGATTAACAGGCTGCTTGGTTGCTGGGCAGGAATGCTAGCAGCAGAAGGTCACAGCCGAATACTGTCATGGTTTATCCAACATCCCTCAAATGCTAACCCTCTTCATCCTTCTGTCTATCCTCCAGGTTAACATCCATCCCTTCTCTGGGTCCCACTCCTTCACCCCTTTTTCCTCTTTCCTTCTTCATCTGCTTTCTCTCCTCCTGCTGCACCTCCACACTCCCTCTCAGTCTACTCCTCCTTCCCAATCTCCCACCCTCTTCCCTTCCAACCACCTAAACTCTCCCTCCCTCCTTCCCTCTCATTCTAATCTTGTTGCTATTTGCTCCCCTCCTTCTACTGCAGCCATTACTTCATGAGCCTGTCTGTTCAGGGGTTATGAGAAAAAATGCTTCTTTTGTCAATGATTGTTTGGATTTGATAGCTCATTGAGAATTAACATCAGTTCATACTTAAATTCCCACCAAAACTAATGAGGCTTCAATGAGCCTGTGCTCCAGAATGAAATAATGGATGCACCTATTTTCAAGGGTCACCAAAAATCATTAGCAGATAACCTAATAGCTTTAGGCACTCTCAGGCTAACAGAAGGTTTACTTTCTGAAACATGCAAAACATGTTCTGTAGCTGTTTATAACCATTGTACCTATCTTTTCTGACTGAACAGGGAATGTAGGCTACACAGTTACCGCTCACAACATCTTTCACTTCCTCCACATGGTTCAGGTTGGTTGCTGTATTGCTAGACCTTTTCCTATCTTAATTTTGAACAGTGAACTTCTCACAAATAATAGGCTGATGAAAAGTGAATTATTTTAATATAATGCTCACTCTGTGCAAATACTAGGACTCTTCGCTTTAGAGTCTCTGGATACTATTTGTGTTATGGCAAAAAATAAGGTCACCAAGAGGACAATAAGAATGTACCTTAACCTTCAGTTTCCTGACAATAAGATTTTTGCTTTCTGTACTTTTGTTCATTTCATATACTCTGTGGTACCAATGAGGAACTGTGCTTGAAGGAAGTGCTGGTTATAATTAAGGCTCTCACCATTGGCTAGATGGTGGGGTGGTTTTAATGTCACTGGAATTATAATCCAGAAAACCAGTTAGCGCTTTGAGACAGGAGTTCAAATCTCACCACAGCACCTAGTAGAATCTAAACTCAATGAATAAATCTGAGATTGAAAGCTAATCTCAGTAATGGTACCGAGGAATTGTCATTGCTTTTCGCAAAAACCTAGCTGGTGTGTTAATGGCCATTAGGAAAAATGTTATTTAACAGTACAGAACATGAGTATTTTTTGGGAAAAAAAAACATAGTTTGTCAAAACAATAATTACAAATGCAAGGGGAAAACTAATATTTATGCTGCATGAAAGGAGAAGGCTGATTAGTTGGCACAAAAACAGAAGTTGCTGGAAAAGCTCAGCAGGGCTGGCAGCATATGTGAAGAAAAAAATCAGAGTTAACGTTTCGGGTCCAGTGACCCTTCCTCAGAACAAGGGAGGGTCACCGGACCCAAAATGTTAACTCTGATCTTTTTCTTCACAGATGCTGCCAGCCCTGCTGAGCTTTTCCAGTAACTTTTGTTCTTGTTCCTGATTTACAGCATCTGCATTTCTTTCGGTTCTGATTAGTTGGCAAGTTGATTCTCTGATTGCTAGAGAAAAGGCCATGGATTTGGTATTCTTGCAAAATGTCCTGATGAATATAAGATGAAAATGTGTCTTTTTCTTCAGCAATACTTTAGAAAAGGAAATCCACTATTCTTACCTAATCTGGCCAATATGGGAGTCCTGATCCATAACCATGTGGTTGAGTGTTAACTCTGAAATGACCGAGGAAGGCACTTATCCAAGGAAAATTAAGGACGGGTGGCAAATGCCTGCATCCCATGAAAGAATAAAGAAATAAAAAAAAACTGTGCCCCCAGACTGTTCTATCAGGTCCTCTCCATATGACTTATGGCCCTCAGCTTACAACTTTGCAAACTCCTGCTATCATACCGTAGAAAACAGTTGCAAAACGTCTGGCCTTCCACCTTCCCATTTCAGTTTTTACTTCTCAAGAATCTGACAGCTTGTAGTTTCCACTCACCACTCACTTAATTGCCAAAGGTACATTTAATCTCATTCACCTGTATGCAAGTTACTTGATAAAGCTTTGCTAAAAGCCTGAATGGGGTTCCTGCTGCATTGCTGTTTGTCCTGTACTTCACCACCTTTCCAGTAGCTTTCAGTTCCTGACCTCTTGTCCAATTCTTAGGTCATTTTCACAACATAACCTGCTTCAGTAAATTGCAGTAAATTCAATCCAATGATGTCCTAACTCCAATTTTGTATTTTAACATCATGAAGGCCTTGGGTAGAGGGAGACTTCAATGAAGCGAATGACCCAGTTTGAGGATTCTGTGAAATGAGTTCTATGAGGAATGAGTTAGTACAGGTGACAGGACAATGAACATCTTACCACCAAGCAGGGAAGACGTAGATAGCAAGAAGATAGTGCGTGGGGGTGACTTGGACCCTTGCAAGCCGCAAGAGAGGAAACACAAATATTACTATCAGCTTTGAGAGTCATGTTAGAAGAACAAGGAATCATGTAGTGAATTCATCATTCCTGCAGCTTTAGCAGGAAATCATGCTCAGAAAATGCATGATTCAGAGACACAGGCTACAATACTAGCACCTATCCCCTGCCAACACTGCTTCCAATTTGCGACTCGCCAAGGGGTCAATGACCAAAGTTAGTATCTCATCTTCCACCGATAATGCCTGCAAGTCTAATCCCCAAGTAGCACTGAAAGTAACAGCCTGAATGCAAACCCATGGTTTTAGCTGATAAGCGAGAGCCAAGTTCCTTGGAAGCACTGTTGCTAATATGGATAATGTGGGATTTCCACTTGTGATTAGAAGAGATCCATCCCTGGCACCAGAAGACAAAGGGCCTTCTTATTATACATGTATTATATTCATTTAATAGAGGAATAAAAGAGTTAAAGGTGTGTTAAAAAGATATTCCTGAATTAGCCAGATATTTTGAATGTCCTCAAGAAGATTGGTAAAGGTTTGAATGTGAAAGTTGCTGTCAATTTTAAAATACAGCAAATATTATTAACGTGATTGCCTTGTTGTACTTTCTGTGTGGAAGCAGTGTCTATGTCAAAGTGTTTGCCGTATTGTTTTTCTATATCATGTCAAGAATTCCATTGTGGCATACTAGTACGTTACTTGCATGTAATATCAGCTAATAAAAGTTATGATAGCCATTTTTTTTCCCTTTCTAAACAATTCTTAAAAATTACCAGCACTTTCCCATATATCTAGTTGTGTGTTAAAAGGTTGCGTGCAATGGCTGATGATCAAGCGCAGATCAGTGATGATGTGATGGTCATCATCCCACAGGAGGGTAGGTTAGGGAGTGATTCTCAGCAACATCCCCTGACCCCCACAGCCTTTCCTAATACCAGGTCCCTTGATCAGTAACAGAGTGCCTTTGACAGCGTTTGTGGCTGTATTCACTGCCTGGCAAGCCTCCTGCACATTGCAGGTTAACCCCAACAGTAGTGGGATGAGATCCTTAAGTGGCCAATTAATCACTCACTTAAGGGCCTCAATTGCCAGCATCCAGAGCTCTCCCATCACTGCCATATTCAGGCTGGAAGTGGGAAGGTGGTCCCCACCCATTACCTTCCTACTTGATTAAGTGTGCCGTGCCACCAAATTGCCATGGAGAGGACACAAGATTCTGGTCACTTTGTTTTCACTTGGGTGCTGGTGACACCCAGGTCTATGTAACCACCACCATTATTGCTAAATTATCAAACTGTTTATTCAATTTCCAGTCCTGAATAAATGGAAATTTGCTGCACGTGAAGACTGAAGCCATTGTTTTCTGTCCTGCTGCAAACTCCATTCCCCGACAGCTAACTCTATCCCTCTCCCTGACACCAGCATGAGAATAAGTCAGCTGTTTATGAGCTGCATGCTATGTTTCACTTTGAGATGATCCCCTATCCATTTCTGTACCATCACTAAGACCCTCTGTTTCCACCTTGTCATTGTCGCTTGGCTTCACCTTATCTCAACACATCTACATCTGAAACTCGCTCTCAAGCTCTTTTTGTCTCTAGATTCGATAATTTCAAAGAATTCCAGCTTGTATTCCAAGTTCTCCGCTCAGTATACTTCAGGCATCTGTTACCCTTGTCTTAACTCACACTCCATTCATCTATCACCCCTGTCTTGTTGACCAACATAGAGGGTAAAGTAGCCATATTCCCAGAGAACCAATGTCTCATTAGAGAGAGATAACCAATAGTAGTTTTACCGCACCTTAGGCAAGGGGAGAAGTTGAGAAGGAAAGTTCATCATGGTACATTCAGCCAGTTTGGGAGTTGAACCCATACGGTTGGCATCACTCTACAATGCAAACCAGCCATGCAGCTAACTGAGCTAATGGACTCAGAACCTAGCCCTCCTCTTGTGATTTGATTTCTTTATTTTATAACTTGGGACATTTTTCTCAAGTTCAAGGTGCTTATTAATATAAATTGTTCAATTTATTGTAATTGAAATTAATTGTTGAAATTATAACCATGTTCATTATAAACATTTTTTTTGTGCAAGGCTCACTGAAATATGTTCCACTAATGGAAGTCGTCAGTAGTACCTCTGTATTTTTATAAAATTCATAACTAATCTGTGAAATTTTGCGGCACTGTGGAAGACATTGCTGATGTGTGTGTCTTCTTTACTCAGAATTCAGAATCGCTGGACACCTGTATCCAACGCATCCTCTCTGCCCTGTACCCTCCTTTTGACGCCACTGCTCCCACAGTGCTCAGTCAGATCTTCAGGGTCATTGACACTGCATACAAGGGGGATGGGCTCTGCTGTTTACTGGATTTCCTAATTCCGGCAAAACGTATCCTGGAGAATGTGCAACAAGAGGCTTGTGTAAGTGTGATGAATTATAATGCATTTTATGTCTTTTTATTATAATGCATTTTTACATTATTACAAAAAAAATCGTACACGGGATGGATTATTCAGATCTGAATTAATAGGAATCTTTTTGATACCTTTATGAAGCATTCTCTGAAAATAACTGAGATCTTGTTGTGCACTTTGCACTGCTCGTCCATATTGTTCTGAATAATGCACCATTTTGTTTGTAGAATTCCTCTACATGGTAATCCTTTACAGCACTGAAACTATACTAGTCAAGTATTATTTTGTGGAGCTTCACCACGTAAGCCAACAGGCTATTGACATAATGAATTCTACTTACATATAAGAGATAGGTTTGAACACGTTGATATTCAATGATTTAATTACCCATCTGGCTGTACCACATTAAGTGCTAGCAGGCCTCAGAGAAAAATACATAATAGGAGCAGGAGTAGGCCACTTGGGTCTTTGAGTCTGCTCTGTCATTCAATATAGGTATGGCTGGTTGTTCTGAACTTGCTTTCTTCCTATATCCTTTGATCCTTTAGCACGAACAACTATATCTCCTTCTTGAAAGCATTCAATGTTTTGGCCTCAACTGCTCTCTGAGGCAGAGAATTTCGCAGGCTCCCTACTTTCTGGGTGAAGAAATTTCTGATCATCTCGGTCCTAACTGGTTTATCCTACATCCCTAGAATGTGATGCCTGGTTCTGGAATTGCCGGTCATCGAGAACATCCTACATTTACCCTGTCTAAGCTATTAGAACTTTATAGGTTTCCATGTGACCTCAACTCATTCTCCTAAACTCAAATGAATCTAGTCCTAACTGATCCAGTCTCTCTTTGTACTTCAGTCTTACTGTCCCAGGAATCAGTCTGGTAAATTTGCGTTGCACTCCCTCTATAGCCAGAACATCTTTCTTCAGAGAAGGAGACTACAACTGCACACAACAGTCCAGGTGTGGTCTCACCAAGGCCTTGTACAATTGCAGCAAGACATCCCTGCTCCTGTACTCAAATCCTGTCACTATGAAGCCCAATATACCATTTGCGTTCTTCATCCCCTGCTGTGCGTGAATGCTTACTTTCACTGACTGGTGTACAAGGATTCCCAGGTCTCACTGCACCTCCCCTTTCCCAATCTATCACCATTCAGTAATAATTTGCCATCCTGATTTTGCTACCAAGGTGGATAACCTCACATTATCCACGTCATCTGCCATGTATATGCTCACCAACTCAACTTGTCCAAATCACACTGAAGTTCTCTGCATCCTCCTCACAGCTCATCCCTCAACCCAGCTTTGTGTCATCAGCACACTTGATATTACATTTACTTCCGTCATCTGTGTCATTAATATATATTGTAAATAGCTGGGACACAAACACTGATCCTTGTGGCACTCCAGCAGTTGCAGAAAAAGATATGTTTATTCCTATCTTGCATTTCCTATCTGTGGACTAGCTCTCTATCCCTGCTAGTACACTACCCCCAATCCCATGGGCTTTAATTTTACCTGCCAGTCTTTTATATATGTCCTTATTGAAAGCCTTCAGAAAGTCCTTGTAAACCACATCCACTGGTTTCCCCTTATCAGCTTTACTAGTTACAGTCTGTCAGACTTAGATTAGCTTTGTCAAATTTGTCAAAAGGGTTACCCACAAGAAGCATTGAGCTCCATTATTGTATTGCAGGGTCAAAAACCAATCTCTCTTAGAAGGAACTGATTAAAAACAACAGAATTAAATTGGAAAGACTTTTTTTTGCATAGAAGTGAAACTCACAACTCAAGATAATATAATTACTAAGTATCTTTGAGTGTTTCGTGAAACTGACCACCCAGTTCAATGTTATACGGTCAGCCCACAGGTTAGGAGGATTGCCAGACCACAGACGTTGCACAGTTGTATAAGCTCTAAGGGAGAAAATTCAGCAAGATCTGAAAAGACTGGAACCAGAGAACATTAATGCAAAAGTTGAACAAATTAGTTGGGCTTCTCCCATAGCAGTACTAAATAGTGTAAAATTGTGTGGGGTTTATAAAGTAGTTGGAAATCGGGTCTAGAGTGCACTCCATCCAATAATTTTTCAAACATCAATGATCTGTTCACTACTTTTGTCAGGAGGCTGCATTTTTTTTTTCAAAATTTAGATCCGACAAATGCCTGTCTGTCATTGAGTTAAATAATGAATCAAAGCCTAGGTTGCTACCTCATCTGATGTAGAAACTAACAGGGAGGCGTTTTGGTCACATTTTGATGGCTTATCAGTGACAGCAAATGACATTGATAGAAGAACTCAAAGGGATCCTGTATTATCTTAGTTGTATGACTAAATGATTAATGGGTGGTCAGTACAAATAATGAATTTAGTGATCAAGTAACTTTCTAACCATAAGAATGAGTTTGTGGTTGATAAAAGTTGTGTTATGTGGGCAATCAGTGTTGTAATTTCAGAAAGAAACTGTCAACAGTTAAAGTGTGACCTTCATGATCACTTGAGATTGGGTTTTACAAACATCTGGTGGTCAAGACTGAATAAGGATTTTGGAGAATTTGAAAGCAATCAGCTATTTATTGTGTTGGGCAGCCATGTGAATTAGGCTGAGGTGTTTTCAATTAATTGAACAACAATGAGCAAAACATCCAAGATTCTGTGCAGTTTGATTGTTTTTTATTGGTTCCTAGAGGAAATCAATCTTGACACTAAATCTCAGTTTTGTTCAGGAAAGTTTTCAAATTTCGTGAGATGAATGGCTAAGATACTCTGAAGCTCCACTGTATCATCCGCTTAGAATGGAGCAGCAAAGCACGTTATACAAATTATTGAGCATGCTCTTGTTAAACAAATGCTCAGTGTGAACTGGAAGAAGCTGGTGATATTTCTTGTTAATTTATTATAGCAAGTTTTATACCACTGGTATGCTTCATTCTTAGAAGAAAGCCTCGAACAAGGGTTTAATTGTTGAAGACCCATTTAGCACCATCAACAGAACAAAAACTCATCAAACAAAGAGAGAATCTTGATGGGAGTACAATTAGAGAGAGAATTCTGAAGTTGAACCATAGGGTTAAAGTAAAAGGACATCATTTTAAGGGTTGAAGTGACAATTAGGAAGTCTTGTAAAAATATATGATCCTTGATTGTACTTGCTCAAGATGTTTGGGAGATTAAAGATTTTGTTTGTACATTTATACTGTCTTTTACCTACTGAGGTTCATGAAGAAAGGAGTTTTTAAGATTCAAATGAATATGCTGAATTGGACAGTTGCATACAAGTGGAATATCAAAAGTTAGTTACTCCAACAAAGTTATACCTGAAACCGGTGCCAATCTGATGGAGAAAATGCAATTGCACATCCATGGTTAAATCAGTCCTTCTGGGAGAAAACATCTCCACAGCCTCAGGCCAAGACTAGTCAAGATCCTTCCTCAAGTTCAGAGTTCAAGTCAAGGAACGATCTATCCTATTCGGAATAGGAAACCAGTGGTTAAGTTGGATTTGTAAATAGATGAAAAACAATGGATGTATATCAATTGTGTGGGATTTTGAACATTGTGTAACATATTCACTAAGGAAGGAAGAGTGTAATAAGCACCATCTTCTGGCTATTTTAAGTACATGGCAGAATAAACTTGGTTAGTTCAGTCGGATGAAGGGTCTAGGCCCAAAACGTCAGCCTCTCTGCTCCTATGATGCTGCTTGGCCTGCTGTGTTCATCCAGCCCTGCACCTTGTTGTCTTGGTTAGTTCAGTGTTGACTTTCCGTGTGCTACACATTGTTTTAATCTATCCTGCAAAGATATGGTGGGGAGGGCCGAAGGATTGATTAAGAGGCCATGGACATGCATCAACAGGGATATGAAAGATCCTTAACCCTAATCCACTGCCAGGCCATCCGGATATCCTGGCACCTTTTCACATGGAGTGGGATATGGTCTGCCATTTTGTAATAGCAGTAGCAGAAGCAGAACGAGGCCCCTGAGCCACAATGAATTGGCTCCATAAGCACCTCAATCCACCCAGGATTACTTAACACCTAATCCACCACTGGTGAAATAATAATGAAGATGAGTCAGTATCCGACTAAGGGCTCTTCCCTCAGCCAATGTTTACCTCCTTGCCCTTACCACCTTGCACAATATTGACTTTTCCAGTCCCCCCAGTGAGCCTGATCCCCAAGATCAGTGATCATAAAATATCTTACATTCCAGACTATTTGCAATCTCAACATACACTTCCTTTTTTATCATTGAAAAATGACACAAGATCTTTTGCATCCACCTAAGGAGAGAAATAAAGCATCAGTTAAACTTTTCATCTGGGAGACAGCGCCTCTGACGATGCAACAGTCCTTTTGTGTCAGTCTAAATAGTGTGCTCTGATCTTGGAGTGTGGCTTTATTCCTTTCCACATCCAAAACTGAGATAAGCATATGTTACTGACATATTGCTGTACAGTCGGAAGTGCTCATAATTTAATAAAATAACCTTGTGAGTTTTGAAATTATTTTTAATTCCAGTTTAGAGGGTTCAGAGATGGAATTGCATGCACCCAGGGAATTCAGCACATATTCAACTGAAAATCTGAAAATGTTCTCCTTTTGTTGTACTGTTAAACTGAAGCCCTGTTTACTTATTCAGATGGAATCAACTTTTTTTTGAAACAGCTTTAAGATTTTGACAGGATAAGGTGCTTTATCGATAGAGAAATGATTATTTAAAGAGAGAACGAATATTCAGGATTATCTCAAGATTCTAATACATTTTCTCTGCCTGAACTGCTAAATTGCATAAATGAGCAATTCACAGGTTAGTATTTAAAGAGGGGTTGCTAATCTGTGACTTTAGTGGATTTCAGAACAAAGCGTTGTGTCATGTCTCATGGTCAATAAGTCAATGTACCTCCAAGATATAAAAACATAGAAAATTGGATAAAGGTTAGGCCATTTGGCCCATCAAGCCTGTTCTGCCATTCAGTGGGATCATGATTGATCCTGTCTCT